CTGTACAGACAGCAGCTGTAGCTTGTAAAGTACATGTCCACATGTGTTCCAGGGGTGAGAATTTATGGTGGGCCCCAAAATCAGGGGTTTCCCGGGGGGGCCCTCTTATTGCCACCGGGGTTGGAAGGGGGGGTGAACCCAACCGCTTGGAGGGTACGCTCAAACCCAACCCAAGGGTGGAGGGGGGGCGCCGCCAAAAAAACCTGGGTCCGTGCGCTTTGCTGCGGGGGGGGTGGGGCCCCCCCCCCCCAGCAGCAGCGCTCAGGACCCCCCCCCCCCCCAGCAGCAGCGCTCTGCTGCTGGGGGGGTCAGACCCCCCCCGGTGTGACCAAGCGCTGGTGGCGTGGTTTAACCTCACACCCATGGTCTCACAGTGTGCCGGCAGTCGCCGAGCAGTGTCGCTCACACAAGCCGCAGCACAAGTGACTGAGGGCCAGTGAGGGCGAGCCCATGGCTGTCACAGCTGTGGCAGCCGCACAGTAGGCTGTGTCAGCTGTGCAGAGTGTGTGAGCAGCAGAGGAGCTGCTCTCCAGGCTTCTGGCGCAAAGAGCTGCATGCCACCGAAAGCCAAAGCGCTCGCGTCCCCCTCGATTTCCGTCAACCCAGCATCCACACACCCTTTACCGAGTGTCGTGCGTGTTCGGTGTTGGCGACTGAGGTAGTGTACTGGTCGTGTACACGCACCTCTACACAGCTTCACAGGAGACAACGCTCACCAACACAAAACTCACAAGCTCCTCACTGGCCCACTCACGTCACACTGCCTCCGTCGCCATCAAGTTGCTGGTGAGGGCGCGCAGCTCGTCCAGTTTGGCGGCGGACAGGAGCCCGCGGCGGCTTCGCTCGCCACAATCGTCGGCCCCGGTGGTGGGCGCCGCCCTCCCACCCGCCTGCCTCGGCTGGGGCGTCGCCGGTGCGGCTGGTGCCTCTGCTGCGGCAGCGCTGGCGGCGTTGGCGCGCTGCTCCGTCCGCAGCGCCGCGAGCAGCGCGTTGCGCTCGCGCCGCGCCGTCGCGAGCTGCGCGTCGCGCGAGCGGATCTTGCCCTCGTGGAGCTCCGACTGGGCGCGGGCAGCCTCTTCCGCCTGCGCCTGCGTGGCGGCGAGCTCCAGGGGGTGTCGGGAGGGGCGGCCGTGCCACGGGAGCAAGTGCGGCGCCCACCTTCACTCGCGAGAGCTCGCGCTCGAGCGACCGGTGCGTGAGCTCCGCCGCCGCTGCCTCCCTCCGCAGCCGCGCGGCCTCCGCCTCGAGCGCGCACCTCGCCTCCCTCGCCGCGTCTGCCGCAGCCTCCTCCGCCCGCCGCGCCGCCTGTTGGGCAGACGCCTCCGCCGCCCCGCGAGCGAGAGCGCGCTCGCTGTCGTGCCTGCTCTCCGCCTCTGCCAGCCGCGCGAGCAGCGCCTCCTGCGTCGCCTCCGCCTCGGCAGCGCCCCGCGCCGCTCGCCGCTCCAGCCGCTGCACCGCCTGCCGTGCGCTGCTCAGCTCCGCCTGCAAGCTGCCCACCGCCTCCGTCATCGTCGTGCGGCACGCCTCGGCGCGCGACCGCTCCTCCGCCGCCTCTCGCCGCGCCTCGGCCGTATGCGCCGCCGCCGCCGCCTCGGCGGCCGCCGCCCGCGCCTCGCTCTCCTCGGCGCTTCGCTGCAGCCTCGCCGCCGCCTCCCGCGCCCCCTCCGCCTCCGCCAGCGCCGCCTCCGCCTCGCCGCGCGCGGCGATCACGCGCGCCTCCGCCTCGCCGCGCACGCCGCGGGCCCGCGCCTCCTCCTCCTCGCCGAGCCGCTCGAGCCGCCGCAGCAGCGCCCGCCG